ATTTAAAAAAAAAAAAAAAAAGTTTGAATGAAAAAAAATGTAAACATGATCTTTGGGCTGGATTAAAAATGTGCGTGTTTTCATTTGACATTATAAATAAAACTAATATTTACCAAAGCTTAAAGCACAGCAAAGTTATACAATCTGATGTCAGGACTGAAGGGGGCGCTGTGACTGAAGTGACAGTGCTGTCGTTCAATCACATACATGTGTTTCACAGTCTATATATATATTATATGTGTGTGTGTGGGGGGCTCTGTCCCTGTTATTTTCTTGCAAACTGATCACAAATGATTTTTCAGCTCTGTCCTCTACATAGTTACTTACTTTGCAGATATATTCACCTTCTCTGACAAACTCCACAGTAGCAGGTCCACGGATGTTCATGCTCGGAAGCAGCATCTGGAGTTGGGGGGGGGGGGTTCAAAGATTTTGCATCTGGCAGCTGACAAAAGGTAGAGAAGTCCAGCAGGGAACATCCTGAGAGAGGGGTGTGAAGTTCACACAAGCTTCTCTTTCCTAATCAGCCTCAGGCATAAAGAATAATGTTATCATGAAGCTCCTCTCAACATGCACAGGCTTTCGGATGAAATTGTTCCATACAGTCATTCTCAATAGATAGCACAAAAGATGAAGGTTTTCCCAGTAAGGCTTTGCTTTGTGAGTTGTAGCCACCTTTGTGTTGATTTAAATTAAAGTTCTGGCTCTCTGCCTGGAGCTGCGATATTAGTCAAACAAATTCAAATTCAATCATAAGTAGACAGAAGTGATTTGGCAAACACATTGAAAAGTGACTGAAACCACAGATCCTTCTCTGCAGGCCTTCCTGCAACATGTCCTCCTTCTCCTGAGTGGGTGTTTTTGGTTGTTTTCACAGAGGTTATTTAATTCAGGGTGGCAAGTGGATTTGATACTCTAATTATGATCAAGGGCCATAAAAAACATCTTTGACTCCGTCATGACAAAGGGGATTTACTTTGATTTACTTTGAAATTCTTATCCTGCCATTTCTCACCGCTCAGTCATTTTATCTTGAGGATATTACAAAGGGAAGAAGAAAAAGTTTTCGTGCAACTTTTATTTCACCTAAATAACTGGTAAATACAATTAATGGTAATAAATAAACAGTGAAAAATTAAGTGCAATCAGAAAGTATTCAGATCCCTTCACTTTTTGTTATGTTACCACTGTATACTACAATTAATAACTTTATGCCTCATCAATTTGCACTAAATGACCCTTTGTGGCAAATCGTAAACAGGAATTTAGAAACTTCCTATGTGTATTTCAAAATGAAAAACTGAAATATCAAATAGAGAGTCATGTAGGTTATTAAAGATTGTTGGTTGATTTCTTTTTATTTCAGCAAAAAGCTGCAACAAAATATGAAAGAAGTGACAGTGCCTGAATTATTTCTGCACTGTGATTATATATATAATTATAAAATACAGTCTTTAATCTTTGCTAATGAATTGTTGATGTGCAGATTTGCCAGCTGGTCAGATGAGACACTGCACGCATCACACAAATGTCAAAGTACAAGGAGCAAGTGAGGGTCGTTTATCAGTGATGCAACTCCTGCAAGCTCCTCAGAAGGAATCATTTTATTTAAATGGAGGTTAGAGATGCCCCATAATGACTGACCTCTAACATTCACAGCTTTTTCTTCTTTTGGCCCAATGGGAGGTGTTGTTCATTAACTGTCCACTTGAGGTCCTCAGTCATTTACCAATAATACAAAGATGAGCCACCTCACCAGTATAATTGTTCTATAGTTGAAAATTAGGGGTTAAATCAGGTAATCTAGGTGATTCCACAGTTAAATAACTGAAATATTACCATCTCTTTAGCAGCCTGAGGACAACTCCCTCCCTGCAGTGGGAAGTCAGTGCTGTGAGGCTGGGATCAAGCTGAAACTCCAGACTGAAGCATCTTCTCTTGGGCTTCATGTGCATGAGAACAGCCTGCAGACGGCTCGGATTTAAAATTCAGAGCATCTCCAGTGTGTCTCTGAAGCACCATGTAGTTTAGACACTATGGTTTTAAGTTAAGGTGCAGACTTCTGGGCTGCTGCAGCAGCGGTAAGGTAAAGCCTGTCAAGAGACTGAAGGTCAAAATAAATAAAACAAAAACTTTTCTGAGCATTTGTACATATTTGGCCAACATGATTTTAGAGAGCGATTTTTTTATACCTGTACGTTTGCACAACCCTGATGCCCTTTTGCATGAAGGCTCAGGAATGAAATATTCTTTATCACCAACATTGTAAGCAGCGTTTCATCAATGTAGAAATAATACAGAAAAAAAGTACTGCAGCAGATAACACAAGGATCCACAGAGTACATGAATAGAATCTGCCTGTATTAGTTCTACATGCATAAACTGTCTGATCATCAAGGCATTTTCTTTTGATTTGATATTTTATTGAAGTGGAAAGAAATTGTGTAACTATTTAATTCATCTGGTGCAATATAAATGTAATGTCTGAGATATTATTCTGCTTGAGATTTTTTTAATTTTTTTTTTTTTTTACAGGGAAATGATTTCCTCCACCCCCACACACTAACCCTGTGTATAAGCACCTTTTCATTTTGCTCAGTAGTCTCATGAATCCAATTTTGAGGAAAAACTCAAGCGAGCAGAGAAAAACATATGACCATAAGGGGAGTTTTTGGGCTTGGGTGTTGTTTTGTCCTAATTAAGACTGTATTTGCTGCAGATCCATGTCAGCTCTGGATGTACAGTACAAAGAGGACGACTGAGATGAGCAGAGGAAAGAAGTTCATATCGTCTTAATTGAGGCAACAAATTTGTACGGAGTCGGGTTTATTTTTAGTACTGACACCCATCAGAAATATCAAAGGTACCGTGGTGATGTATTCTGTCAGGGGCAATAAACCCGTCTTGCAGAATGCAGCGTGACTGCTGCCCCTTGTTGTCACCTTGAAGCTTCTTTGAGCAGAGTGTCAGACATCCAGCTGTCCACACCATCAGCCTGGTCACAGTCTGGAAGAACCGTGGCACCACAGCACAGCACACATACAGAGGCTAATGAAATACATCCCATCCATCCCCCACTGTAAAACCGCACATCAAACAGTGACAGCTTCCAGTACGCGCCTAAGGATAGAATTTGAAACAGAGTGACATGAGGTGTGATTTATGAAATCCCATGCCTCTCATCTGAGAAAAGAAAAATAGATTTTTTTTACTGAGTACTGAATACTTCTTCAAAGAAACATCAAGCAGTGCAGGGAAATTAAAGATGACTATAAGACAGAAAATCATGTTATGGCCTATAGGAGCTAAAATAATCTGAGAGCAGTACATTCCAACAATGATTAAACAGGGTATGGAGAACAAGAGAGATCCCAACTGATGCTTCCTCCTGCTAAACTGATGTATTAGCTCAGGATGCATAGACCTATGTTATGGATGCCAGGATCATGAGCCAAAACAAGGTCCCTGCAAAATACAGGATAAGTTAGTTAGCCTGGTACAACCGCTCCAATGCCAAGAGATCCAGATTTTTAATTTGTACACATTCATGAATATCATTAAAACAAGCTTGAGGTTCTTCATGAATATTCATTAATTATTCTTTGAGAAATCAATGAAAATGTTGAAAAACTCTCATTAAAGAAAGATAAAAAACATTCTGAATCCTAACCCAATCCAAAATGTAATGGGTTCTTTCCTGACCCATACTGCATCCTTCCAGTAGGTTTTGTGGTAAGTCCTGTTGTAATTCTTGTGTAAACCAACCAACAAACAAACAGATGGAGTGGGAGGTTTGATTTACTCAAAGCTGATTACACATTTTTGCGCATGCCACACA